CAAAAATCAGGCAGAAACATATGTTTTGTAAGTTTTACCCTAATACACTTAAGAGGTGTATTTGTATACTGGCTTTGGTGTGATGTGCCATTTTGCACTGTTAGCTTTCATCCTAAAAACCTGGAAGTAAATTTTGCTTTTTAAGTTAAAGAAATTTTCCCAACTGCAACTCTCTAATATTGAGATAATGTAAAAATAACACCTGCCATATCATAATACTTCATTAAATTGCAACCACCGGCCATCTAAAGAACAAAGCAGATGTTCTGCATTGACCAAAGGGTAAGCACTTCCCAAACAAGGGGTGGAAAAAATTCTGTATGCTATTTAAGTAGACAGGTGATGTACGTGCCAACAGAAACAGACATTGAAGAGATGCAATTAAACATCCAGCCAGTGCAGTGAGGTCCCATTCCTTCCTTGGAGACATCCTAGAAAATCTGTGATCACGTCCGGGCAGACATGGAGGCATTTCCCTGAAATCAAAGCATTCAGACTCATTATGGGAGCATGTATTTTGGCCTTCCTCTCACGCTCACTTCTTGCTTTTTGGGCTGGCTTTACAGTGGCAACATGAGGCCTTCTGGAAGAGGCAGAAGGCAAAGCTGGGATACCAAGACATGCCAAATGACATGAGTAGATTCTGCTTGTTGTGATGAGAGCAGCAAGGTAACCTTCCCCACACTTGGAAATGTCATCTCGGGTCAGCTCAGCTTCTCCTGCTGTCAGTTAACAGCTGGTGACTAAGAGGTGTTTAACAAACCTGACACTTCCCAACACCCCACCTAGTCCTTTTTGGCTAGAAAACCCCATGAGAAGTCAAAGCGTGCTGACACGGGGCAGCTGAATTGATCATAGTTTCAAATATGAACATTTATGAAAACCGAGACCTGTGTGTGGCTTTAAGTGAAGTACCCTGTTTTAATTCTCATCAGTGGCGAGGAAAATTGCCTTGCCTTGGCTAGGGTTTTCAGTGCTGCAGGTAGTAATGAGCAAAGTTTTGCAAATTGTAATAAGAAGTCTCTTAAGACCAGATTCCAACTTGCTCATTGGGAAGAGGAGAATTAAATATAGCTAATCACGGGCAATTGTACCACCACCCCCCACCAATATGTGACTTACAGGAGAGTAAGGTGCTCCCCAGGCATCGTAACGTGAGAGAGCACTAACGTGAGCTAAGTCTGGAGATAGAGGAGCAGGACTGCACATGAGGGAAGATAACTGCGATCTGAAATGCAGGAAGGACTGACCTGTGCATCCCAGGAATAAACAGTCCTGTGCAACTGGCACACAAAATTAAGGAAAAAAATTGGAAATGAATACATTTCTATATAGGCAATATAGTAACGAGCTAATCCCACCACCTGATAGGCACCAGTTTGGTGGCACATGTCTAGAAACTTTCCTGAAGAACAAGCGGGTATGAGTCATGCATTTCAGATGTGCTTGGGCAAACAGGCAGTTCGGTGCTTTCCTAACGATTATCATACATACATATATGAGTATCTGGCTCTCTTCTTTTCAAACGAAGCATCTTTTCAGTGTGTTATTTCAACAAATACATTCAAAGTATTACGAGAGGGTTCTGAAATTGGGGAAAAAAAAGCAAGTCTCCAAGGGCAGCCGAGCTGACAGAGGAAAACTGAGGTTTGTGCTACATCTAGGAGTAGGATTTACAGGTCTGAAAGCCGCCCATAGCAGCACTGAGCAGGGACTGGGCAAAAACTTGAAAAAATACATTTATCATTTTGACACCTGCGCTCTCTGAGATAATTTATTTAGGATCAAAGCCTTGCCAAATCTCAGTTCAAAGAGCAGACTGTGCACATCCTTAAAAGTTGTGAAAAAACAACTAATTTAAACCATTTTCATAGTGGCAGCTTCCAAGTCAGGAGCAGGAACTCTTATCTCTCTCTATTTTGCCTGTTTGTGATCGTGTCTCACTATCTTAAGATAAAATTGTTTTGTTTTCAGTGTATCATTTTAATTATGCTGTTACTCAACTCGCCCTGTGCTCTCTACCCTAATAATTTAATTTTCATGTGGGATACTAAAAGGGACTGAAAACACTTTGGGTCTCTGCTCTGTAACAAATCATTTTGCAATACATTTTGCAAATCACACCAGGTCTGTATTTAAACTAGCTCCGTTTCCGTCCTCAGCTCTTCCACAGAGGTGCTGTAGCATGGTCAGGAATCTTTTTCCCACTTTCACAATACATTTATTCACAGCCACACTTGGGCCAACATCATCTGTTATCAGCTGTGGTGTCTCACACCCACCTGCATTTTTCCAGCTCCAGCACATACTTTAAGTAACCATACCATCATGCAGCCCTCACCTTTGGCGGATGGATGCGCTGGGATGCGCGGCCTCACACGTGCGCCTGCTCATACGTGTGTGGCCGACATGGCACCATGTCCAGGCTGTCCTGCAACACGGCGCTACCCCCAGGCTGACAGCCCTGCTCCACGGTGCTCAGTTAAGCCATTACCCTTCAGTTAAAATTGAAAAATAACCAGGCTGAGGAGGCAGGAATTAGGCTCAATGGCCACAAGCCCACATTTCTTAATTTATGGGCAAGCTTGGGCAGATGCTAGGTACTTATAGGAAAGATTATGCCCGTGGTTCCTTCCTCTGAGGACTCTGTTTCCCACAGTTTCTCCCCGCAGGAGGCTCAGGGTGTAGGAGCCCAGATGCAAGCACGCCAGCACCTTTCCAGTGGGATAAGGATGCCCGTGGTGACACAGGCTTCCTAACTAATTTAGAGCCTACCTTCAGGTCTCCTAACTAATTAATACCCTACCGTCAGGTCTCCTAACTAATTAATACCCTACCCCCCTCCTTCAAGCCTAACAGAGGGGTCAGAGTCAAGAAGGTATTTATGTACCAAATCCCGGTCTGCTCTAAATCTTCAAGGCACGCTCTTGATCCGGAGCTCCTCTGCCCTGCGAGGTGCGGCTGCTCGCAGAGCAGGGACAGCCCTGGGGGACACCAGCCCCACGCTGCTGTCACCTCTCCTTCCTCCACCTCTCTTGCTTTTCCAAAGCACACACCATTTTCCCAACAAATAAGGAGCGCTAATAGCTTAAAACTGGCATAGGTACCAGGGGGGGGACTTCTTCCAGAGTACAGGAGGTGCACTAATGGGATGCAATTCCAAGTGTTGTGTATTATCCAGTGTGAATATCCCTTGCAGGGCTAATGTGCAAGTTCCATTTGATGTACATGCTCCTATGGCGATGTTTCCAGCTAGAACGGACCCTCATTTCCCACTGTCAGCCATTTGACACAGGGACTGTATCAACTTGCTCTTGGATTTAGCAGAAGGAATACCTTGGCATGCTTGTGGGCGTTCTGTGAATGCAGACTCTCCCCGTTGTGCTTACAGCCTAAACTTTAATTGAAAATAAACATGAACAACTCATGCCAGCTCTAGTCTAGAGTACAGTGCAAGAGGACAAAGTATAAAGGAGAATTTTCTTTATTTTTAAATATTAGTAACACTGCACAAAACAAAAAAAAAGTGGTACTTAAGTGACAGAAAACTGGTACTCAGTCTTATTTCATATTAACCGTAATTTAAATACCCTAACAGAGTTCACGTATGGTTATATGTTTGCATAGGGTTACATTGGGTAATGTAAGCGTTTGAAGCTAAACCGTTCAGATACCAGAGACACCAGAATTTGTTATATCAAACCATGCTAGAATGCAGACTTGATTTTTCGGTTTAGCTTCTTCCTTACACCATTACGTGCATTGCTACATCTTTTAAGGTTAGGATGAGTGAGCTTCTCCAGCAACTGTGGACTTTCAATATTGCCAGGTTTAAGTCTGTTACATCAACAACACATTGGCAAGAGGAAGGACAAAAGAAACAAAACAAAACCATAAGCTGCTCTCTCCTACCTGGAGGTTAAAAAGAGGAGGCAACATACTGACAAGAAACATGCAGGTAAATGCTTAAGGCAACAGGAGGGCTCTGTACAAACGAAAAGGTTAAGAGAAGCAATGTGTCATGCACATGAGACAAGTATGGGAAGCAAGGAAATAATCTTGCCAGAAAATACATATTTCTTTTAAATTGAAGACATCTTTTCAAGCTAAAAAAAAAAAAAATCAGTCCTGCAATAAAACCGATGCAAAATGCTTTCATACATAAAGGTGTAAGTTCTCCGCAGAAACAACTTGATAAAATCTTATACGGATGCTGAAAAATGTTTGTTATCTAAAACCTACTCAGCAGAAACAAAGAGCAGTTTTAAAGTAGCACTTAGATCATTGTCTGTAGGTTCTGAAAATAAACTTTTAAAATAAGGAATGATTTCACTAAATGATTCATCGGGAGTCAACTATGCTTAAGGAAATCAGTAGGAGTGCTTACAGGAGACCATCATTACACTAAGTTTCTTAAAATCGGAGGATAAAACTTCATGACACAATTTAAAATGAAGGAACATTTTGATAGCAGGGACAAACCTTTGCTGCCCAGCTTGGGGGAAAAAAAAAAACCCAACCATAAAAGTCACTTATTAAGCTTGCATAAATTACCCTGTAAGAGCTCATGTCTCAATCCCATTCCCATTGACATGAGTGAGCAGGACTCTTCTTTCAACAGGCCTGATGCTGATCCCAGAGGGACCAAGCAAACAGGCATTTGCACAACCTTTTCTATCCTACAAAACAAATAAACAAACGCTGGACTAGAGTTGGTTTAGTCCCAGGGAAGGAAGAGGTAAGAAATTCTGTAACGCTTTCCAATCGTCAAACGCAACGTGCTTCTAACCAAGATCAGCCTCGTTCGAATTCCCTAACCTGACTGGCAAGAAAGCCACTCCGTGAAACTAAAAAGAACAACATAGTGCAATTTTAGTACAGTTTTAAACATGAGTCACTTCCTTGCTAGCAGTGTGGACAATCAAAAAATATACACAAAAGAGGTGTGCTCAAAATGTAACATTAAGTTGTCATTACTATAGAGCTACTGGCATAGCAGAGAAGTCCATTTTAGTAACTCCCTTTGGTTGACTTCTTCTTCTTCTGTTCCTCTCTCTGCTTCTGCTTCCTCCTCTTGCTGCCTTCTTTGTGTCCTGAGGAAACACGGCTTGTCAAACACTATTCACAGCATTCATGGACGTTTCCCTTTAGCAAAAGCACACATTCTCTGAATGGTTTAAAGAATCTTAAGGAAAATGTCTGGCTTTCTAATGGTGTTTCTTAAATAGTCAGTTCTTCTATATCCCCAGTTCTACTACATCCCTCACATAGGATAGAAAGAAAACACTATCAATCTTTGAAGCTTGAAAAGACCTGGAGAACTTTCCAAGGACTTCAAAGCCATTCAGGAAAAGCTTCAAAATTAGAGCACATGCAAAACCAGAATAATTTTCAAAACGGAAGCAATAAATAAGACTTATACAGCAGGAGCTATTTAAGTACTGGCGCTTCCTGCTCACAGTAGTCAGAGTTACCACGATATTTGCATTTCCATTTTAGAACTAGGGAATGCTGAGAAACCTGAGTAAATAAGACGGTGCTCAGTGTTCACCAATACGCATTTTCTATGCAGGTCAGCAGCCTGCTCATGCTTAACTATGCACCATAGGTTATATGCTACCACAGCTCCAATGGTACACAGAAGTATTAAATTCAAGCAACAATTATTTGCTACGGGTTCAGTAGGCACAAACTCCCAGCCACGCGATCATCGTCCCAACGATTTTTTTTCCCCCGCAAAGATGTGTGAAAACCAATTCTTGTTCTGCATCTCGTGCTTTCCTCCAAACTTGCAGTAAAATGCAAGGTGCTAGCAGACTTGCACGGGCAGTGGCCTGTGCAGAACCAATGCCACATCTACCCAAGTGCACTTATAAATCTAAACTCAAAGCTAGCAAACGTCTCTCTCAGATAATCATTTTGCAATGCTTTGAAATAGCTGGAGGGGTCTTTTAGCTCAGTGGTGCTCTGCCACTGGGATTCCGCATGGTCCAGTGACTGGGGCCAGGCTGGAGTGGAGGAGCCCTGGGCAAGCCAGCCAAGGGGCAGGGCTGGGAGTCAGGGAATAGCCCAGGAAGGGCACAGCTCTGTGTCTGGGAATCTGCTTCTTTCCCCGACTCTGTCTGCAAGCAGGCAGATGCGACCCTGAGCAAGCAGTGTCACCATGGCGCCTGGCTCCCCATCAGTTTAGCACCAATAGCAAAATTAAGATGGGAAAAGGAAGCGGTGGGAGGTCAGAGGAGTACAAAGCCATGCTCTGGCTGAAGTTTGCTCCTCATCAGAGCTCCTCCCAAATGCAATTCGGGTTGTGCCCACGGCGGAACGGCAGTTCTTCAGTTTAAGCTTAAGACTTGGGGAGGACCATGAGAGAGTCTCTGGGCTAAAACCACTTCAGACACTATCAAAGGCTTATGCATTAGAGGAAATACACTCCCTTGCAGCAAAGGGAAACTGTTCCTAGGTTATCACTCTAGCTCCTACGCTGTATCAACAGCATGACTTCATCTTTTGCAATCATCTGAGTCAAGAAGCAGGATATTTATTTAGAAATTCTGCCACGAGCGATTAGCCTGCGCAAAGTTAGCGTGGAAACCAGTTCTATTGTTTAAGGAAGAGAAGAACTGGCAGCGCTTTGCAGAATTGCAGATGACGCTGCGTTTTCCCTGCACCCTCCTGAGCTGCAATCCTGTCCCCGGGGACACTGCGTGGACACCTCCTAATTAAGAACTCCATCCATGAAGTTTACTTCAATGTCAGCCTCTCCTTCACCTATACATTGTCAAAAATAGGATCCCTTGGCATTTAATTTACTGCTAAGGGACACATCCCAGAAGGGCTCAAGCATCTCTGCTTTCCCACAGAGTCCAACGGAGGCGGAAGAGACGTGCTGACTCGGGAATCAGTCACCCAAATGGTGTCATTCAAAGGATTCTTCCCTTTACTGGAGGGAAAAACAGCATCACATCAGCTGATCAGAATTAGTTCATGTAATAACTATGAAACATTAAACACACATATTTGGGAAGAGATCACAAAACCCTAACAGGTTATTAGCTTCATAATTTTCTCATTTTTCATTCTCAAAACACTGTCAGTATTTGTAAAAGGCTTCCACATACAGGCACGATTGCATTTGGTACTGCTATTTTATATCATAATTTTTTTTTTTTTGCAACAGTCCATTTTCTTCAAGTTTTTGAGATTTTGAAAGCAATTCTAGAAACTCTTCCTTAAAAATACCATGAGCAATGTAAATTATGACTTGAAATGAATGCCACATAATTCATTGTCTTCTAAATGAAAAAACTCAAATGTTAAAATAATGTGGTATGAAGATATTTAGGCATTTGACAACATGGTCTCCTACCAGCCTCCGGAATGATAAGGGTGAAAAGTGGAAATCTTTCAAGTGTTATCACTGACACACAGAAACAGATTGGCCAAAGTAGGAGATAATGCACAAATACAGAGAATTCCTCAAGAGAAAACTGCCGGGTCTTTTCTGTTTCGAGCCTGCTGTGATAAATAATTTCACTCTCGACCATTTCCTTTTCTGCCTCCACCTAGGAAGAAAGGGTAGGTCAAACTTTGCCAGTCTGTTAGCGCCAGCGATGCTACGCTGGGTGATAACAGCCAAAAACCTGATCTGAACAAGTGAAGCAGCTCCTAGTAAAAATAAAAATTGCACACTAAAGATGTAACCCTTTGGTGCTTGAATACTTCAACCAGCACTAATTAAAAGCGTATTTAGCTGCCTTGGTTACAAGACTAGCCCCAAAAGTCATGGGGAGAACAAAATCTGAATTAGAAAGCAGCAGGCCCATTACTGTTTGATTAATTTGCAGTGAACCTGTGTCCTGGTGAGCCACCAGCATCACGAAGCAGTCATGGAGGCTTCCCAGGGCTAGCGTCTGGCTGAACTGGCTTCAGCCAAAGAGTTCTGGCCTCAGAGATGGGCCTTTCAAATTCCCCCCCTTAGAAGCAATAGTTAGTGATCTAAACTCTAGAAATGTGTTACATTAAGATAGAGACTCTTAGGGAAGGGTGCGGGGAGAACAGGTTGCTGAGAGCTTCCCCAAGCTTTGACACTTGGAAAACAGATTCACTCAAATGCAGATTGCTATCAGCCTAACTTGGTACATTCTTGCTTTCGTCAGCTGCCAGGAGCAGTGATGGATGAAGCAAGAATCCACACCATTTGGAATTACACCTGGTTTAAAACCTGGATAATTTTTGTCTAGAATAAACAGCATGAGCTGACCCTCTCTTCTACTTCCAGAAGAACCACAAAGAGCACAAAAGCCATTCCAGCTTTTAAAAATCTGCTTGAAGACTGAAACCAACTTCTAACAACGCTTAGTAGCAACTCCCTCAGCCACTCAGCAAAGACCAAAACAAATTGGGAAGCCTCTCTGCTGGGTCCCAGGTTGACTTTCCTTTTGGCTTTCCACTTCTCTGCCATCTACATCTCCCAACATCACAGTTTTTTTCAGTCACTGACTATGAAACTCATCACATTCTTGGGCAGCAACTGCAAGGGGGGGTGTGCACATCGAGTGAGTGATCCAAAGGGACAAGTGTTCTGAGCAAAACGCTCCTACCCAACCCATTTGTGGTATCCTACATCTGCCTGCCCTGCCTGACATCTGCCTGCCCTACCAGGATGCAGAGAGCAGTCACAGATCTGCTCCACCTTCCTTCTGCGCAAGAGAGCGTAGGAGTCAGCAGAAGAAAACAAGGTGTTCAGCCATGACCGACGATTAACGCACAGCATTTCTGCTTCTTGACCTACATCAGTTAGTAATAAAGGCCATGGCCTGATTTTATATAAAGATCTCCTGCAAAGGTGAAGACTTTGAAGGCACCTCCTTCCACTTTCAGGCTGTAAAGCACCAACACTGGGGACAGAGGGAATTCATACTTTCTGCTCAAGTCCCAGAGAAAGTGGTTTTCAAGATCTACTACCTTTTTGCTACGATTGTGGCCATTCTCTTGCCCTCCTTCAAACCAGCAAAGCAGTCATGGCTCCAACGTGGGCACAGAGCTTTAACAGAGCAGCGGGCCGCATGCACATTGGGTTCTGTAGTGCGCTTTCTAATTTTCTGCTCTTAGAAATACCTCTTTAGTCAAAACAATAAATTGCTATTTCAAAGGTAGCTGGCTTACTTCTGAGTTGCAGCCACCATCTTATTTTAGCCACCATGTTATTTTAGACTCACCACACTTGCATATGCCATTACAAAAATTCACCCCAGATCACAGCTTCAGTATAATTTCATGCATGTGACTCAATTTACAATTACAGCTTTACGCTACACTTTCACGTTCCCTCCTGTCAGCCCGAGCCACTGCCCAACACACACCACAATTTGACCTACTAATTCTCTCACCGCATCCACAGCTCCTGCCCATGCCACGGAGCTTCGTGGAGAGAGAACCTGCCTTTACATAAAGACCTGAGGTGACAAAACATCCCACCCCGTCTAGGTATGCCACTCCACTATTTAATAATCTGCACTGTTAAATCCAAGGGGCGAGTTCTCCAGTTTTACTGGCCAACCCAGTGATGTCATTCCAACTTTGATCTTTTAGGTGACTGAAAAGCTTTAGCAACTTACTGGGGCCTTCCTTCATGCTTGTTCACCATACTGTTTTCATTACCAATTCTGCCTAGAATTTCTACAAGAGCATACCAAGCCAGATACAACCTGCTTGCCTGCTAATAATTAAGGTAATACTATTACTGAGTAGAGTCCAAGGTTTTACTCCCACATGGCAAGCAAAAGCTTGCAAGGCTATGCAGCCTTGGAAGCCCTTCCATGTGCAAGACAGCCACCTTCTTTGGGAGGCAAATAGGTAATGGGATGCTCTCATACTAGCAGCCAAAAAACACCATGCGTGAAGGCAGGTCTGGCCAAGCCAGGGAGCAACAGGCCAGCCTCCAAATCCACCAGCCAATCTTCCCACCCTCGGCCCACAAGAGGAGCACAGCTGTTGCCCCGTCCCACTCGGGCACAGTTACAGCCAGGGGATGCGGAGCAAAGGGAGAGCGAGCTCCCTCCCACCTCCACACCTCCAGCATTCCTCACGTATTAGATTTCCACAGAAAACAGTGGCTTTGCTTGCCTTTCTCTTTCCATTACATGCCCAAATACAAGTATGTGAGAGAATTATAAGGTAATTAGTTTGGACAACCAAGCACATCAATTGTTAGTAACGTGTAACTCAGGAACCCGTATGTCACTAAAAAGAACTGAGACCGCACTGAAAATGTAATAAAATACAAATAGCTCAACTTTCCAGCAGAGGAATCCATGCCAGAAAAGAATCAAGATTAGTTAAGCCAGTTCTTTTAAAGTGGTTTCCTTTTCAGGGATGCCAGCGGGTGAAAATGGAGCAAAAATGAATTATTAATGTTGTAAGTTTTGGGTTAATGCAAGCTATTTCATTCAAAAGGAAGAGCAAATATTGCAATACTATCTTGCAAATAATGATCTTTCACATCGTGTATTTTTCAGTATTTTAACAATTAAACATTTCAACCATTCTTGCTAGATAAAGAGCAGAACTGTCAAATCCAGAGAAGCAGGTTTTTAGGGGTAGCTACCACTACCCCTACCATTAGTGGCTGTAACCTCCAGGTCTCTGCTGGCATTAACAGCACTTTGGCACAGCTTGGGTATCACCAATCAGCCATGAATCATACAACCAGGCACTGCGTTACTTGTAGTATCTGAATTCTTATTAAAAAATTACTTGGGTGGAGCTAGAGCACTGTTTGAGATACACTGCAACTCCAGAATACAAGTTTTATTCTAAAGGCTGTTGTGAAACAGGAACAGTACGAATTTCAACTAAAATGCAAAGTGTCAATGTTAGAGAATCAACTTTTTCTTTTTTTTTCTTTTTTTTTTTTTTTTTTAAATTAAAAACCCACTGTAATAACTGGAAATCCTGACTAAGGAGAGGATTCATCTCACCTCTGGATATTGGTTGCCAGTATAAACAAGTTGGCCAGCCTTTCTCCTTGGGCGCTAGAGAGAGGCAGCCACTTCCAGAGGGATTCCCACCACGTAGTCAAGATGAAACCTATCCCCTTTTCCTTCATTTAAATCTGCCACAGACTTACAAGTTAAAACTCAAACATTCCCACTCTTAAAGCTGGGAAAAGAAAGCCATTTCACTGCAGGAGAACCATTAATGACTGAGTATTTGCTGGAGGTGCTCTAACTGGGACAACGTCTAAAACTGCTGCGCAGTCTTGCTGCCAAGGGCCACACGCCAGCGGTGGTAAAGCCATCTGATTCAAGGTGGAACAGCACCCCGTTTGAGGCCATTGAATTTTATTTTCCACTGAAGAGAGTGGGCTTTGGGCCAAAGCAGAAAAAGGTGCTATTCTTTCCCAACGCTGGCCCGTGCAAGCCCGGCAGCTGTCGCAGCCATCCATGAGAAGCCAAGCGGCAGCAAGTGAGTGGTCTCTGTAGCGAGAGAGCTGCGCTGGTGAAGCCTGCGTGCTGGGCAAGGCAGTCGGCAGAGGTGGACACCCATGGGGGAGAACGGCGTTACTGGCCAGGGCTTGTGCACAAACTTCCCAGGGAGGGATTAAGACACTCACATAGGTTTTTGTGACTGACTCAGCCAGTCCTTCAGCCGCCCTGTCCATCAGAGGAACAGTAGGCAAAATATTTAAAACAACAGTAAAAGCTTAGTCTTACTGCAATCAAGTTTTCAACCTGAATCTTTTATAGCAACTCAGAATCTACTGGTAGAAGAGAGGATTTTGCAATTGCACAAATCCTTCTGGAAATCCATTTTGATTGCAAACTTGTGCGTCTTGGAGCATAAATAGATTCACAGCAAAAAGTCCTAAGCAATCTTAAAAATTGCTCCAAAAATTGCAAGGTGCATGTCAAACTCGGATGTTCTTTGGAAACTCTTACAAAGTATCGTCATGATTGCAGAGAACCTCCAGTCTCCAAATGCAGAGCCAAGGTTTTGTTTTGCCAGCTACACACACAGAGGACAAAACCCTGGCATGGGAGATTTCAGGACATAGGCCCAGAGGTTACATTGAGGCTTCTGTAGAGAATTTAATTTTTTTTTTTTTTTTTAAAGAAAAGATTCAACTTAGCCGTCCCTAAATAGACAAAACTTCCAGCAACTGATCAGGAAGACATTTTCACTGAATGCTTCTATTTTTTCAAGCTGCCATCCCACACGATATCTTTAGGTCTTTCATGCAGAAGACAGCGTTAGATTTAAAGGCTCATAAATGCAGCAGAAGTTGGTGCAGCACTGGAAGTACGTGAGCACACATTTTGGGGTACAGCGCGTGTTCTTCATGCACTGTGTTTACCCCGTGCATGAGCCTCATACGCTCACGCTTCCCAGCACTTCACCTCATTCAGCACTACTGAGAAGGGCCCCTGGTTTTGGGCATCCAAGCAGAAAGGCACCTTCATGTTTCAGAAAAACCTGTCCTGGCAGTCCTGGATGATCTTTGACCACACATTCAAATTAAATCAAGTAGTTATGAGGACTCTGTTGTCCAAGATAGCCTCTGGACTATATTGCTGAAACACTACAGACGGGAAGTATATCAAAGGACTCATTACTTCCAAAACCAGGACTTCCAACCAGGACAATCGCTGCGCTTCTGCATTCACCTGAACTGTCTCAGCCTTCTCTATTAGTATTTAGGTGCCTAAAATTGCAGCTTCCAGAAATAATATCAAGTTGCTGAACTTCTCCTTCGGCATGGAAACCAAGCACAAATTAAGTAAATGAACGTGCAAAGTATTGTGATTAGTTCATCTCTAAAAAGGCCTTCACTTTCAAGAAAAAAGAGCATAGGCACTTCAGCCGCATAACAATATTTGCCCTGGATCTGTGAATCCAGGGCAGTTGTGAATCTAGACTAAACTGAAGAGCAGAGCTAATGTAGGACGGAGGCGCACAAGCTGCTGTTTACTCTCTACCGGGGACCTGACATTAAGTCAACACACAGCAACAACGTCTTGCTTGGCTTTTTGGTTTTGGCTTTTCGCTAGCTGATGAATCCTTTTCTGCGCATTTCTCATCAACATGCTTGTGCACACCTGATAAATAAAAAGGGGTCTCCAAGCTGCTCGTAACCCGGCTTCTATCTTGTTCTTCCACCTCATCGCTATTATAATGGTAGGCATATTTGGGGGAACTGGCAGGCTTGTGAGACTTCAGCAGGCGCGGGTTGGTTGGCTGGAAGGGCAGGGCTTGTTGTCCTCTCCGTCTGCACTCCTCGGCAAAGGCTTCTTCATCTGCCTCACCTGAAAAAGCAAAGCGCAAGAAAAGTCAGCTGCACCTAAAAGGCTTAAATTTAGCCTGAAAAAAACCTCAAAACCGGGCTAGAAATTGCGTGTCGCTAAACTGCTGCCTTGGCTGAGGTTAGCTCGCAGATCCTCCTGCCTATCTGCAGATCAGGGAGTGTCCGGAGCAGAAAGCTTCCTCAATGGCCTCTAACCACACTGGAGCCACCCAAAAAAGCCAGCTGGATATGACAACTCTGGGGCCGCTTTCCTTTTTCCCAAAAGGCAGGGTGAGCGAGCCAAGCACACAGCCCTGGACGGTATTTCTGTCCTGTGCAGAGCATCTCATCTTCTCCCACCTCACCTGGGCTGTCTGCCTAGGAAGGGTTGACCTTGCTCAAGGAAAAGCTATAGGGGAAGGAGGGAGAAATACCCAAGCTGGCTACAGGGATGGTGAGAGAAAAACAAAGCCAGCCTGGGTTCAGAGAGGCTGGGTGTTGGAAGGATGGTTAGAGAAGCATGAAAGATCACATGAAGATGGGAAATCGGGTTGAAGATGTAAGAGGTGAGCACAGTCGAGGGGGCAAGGCACGCACGCACGCACAGCAAAGGCAAATGAACACGATGGAAATAAAAACCCAATGTTTGCAAAAACTAGTATGAAAGATGAGGTATTATGGTCATACTCATGCTATTTTGCAGATGACGCTTTCCTTTGCTGCAGAAACTGTAACAGTACCAGTGCTGCAAAGTAGAGAAATCAGCTACCATAATGCAACACCCCCCCCAGCAAAACCACACATCGAAAAGCAAACGGTAAGATAACAAATAAAAAAGCCAAAGACATTCAACGGGGAAAATAAGGAGGAAAAAAAAAAAAAGTGAAGAAAGGTGTGTACCACATTTGTCTCTTACAGGCTTTTTAAAGTTTCATTAATTCAATTACTTAAGTGCTTTTAATAGAGCTGATTAAATACGGCGTCATTTTATTTGCATCAAAAGTGGTGCGTCACATTCTGGAAGATTTTCCCGGGATGTGCCCGGCATCAGCTGCTTTGGGAGGGGTGTGTGCTCTCAGCTAATGCCTGTGCTCTTAGTTCATGGCTGGAAAATGCTTTGAAGATGGAAAAAGCACCACGTACGCAGCAAGGAACAAGAGCAGTAATACCCGCTTTGTTGTGTGCGCCCAAACCACCAACACTTGCAGACAAAACAGGTTGTTGTAGTGTCTTTACCTTGCAATCGCACACGGGGAGATGCTTCTGAGGGCATGAGGAAAAGGAGGCAAGGTATGTTTAAAAAGTCATTTCACAGTGCGGTGCGGCACCTGAGGCCTCGCAGGAGAAGAGGACTCCAAGACGCGCCTCGCATCGGCCCGCCATGCGCTTGAGCACCTGATGTGCACGGATATTAACACTGAGGACCCTCTTCCCCGGGTGATCAAATGCCCGTTCTGCCCCCCAACAACGCTCACGCTTTTTTACCCTGGACTCTCCTGCATTTCCAAAGGCACAAGCAAACAAGACGTAACACGAGTGACGATAACACCAAGGATTTCCGCATTCAGACGCCGCCTGCCTGCACCATACCAAGGTGCAACTCTGGGTGAGCGGCTCTCCTTGCAGAAGGTGAGGGCTGGCAGGGCGGCATTTTTCCCCTCCCAGGGGTGGCCCAGCACTTCAGCTACAAGAGGCACTGGGGAAGGAAAAGCTCAGAAAATGCCAAATGCAGAATTGCCAGCATTTCCCATAAGAGGCTACGGGATTTTACGTGCTATATAAACAGCACTGAAGCATGTATCAGTCTGATGATACCAGGTCCATGAAGATAAAGCCTATAAAATGCCAGGAGTTAAAAAAAAAAAAGCATAGAAAACCCACATACACCCATTGCACATACAAAACCCAGTCAAGTTCACTTCCTAACAAATTATAGTGTACCAGTAATAGGAGATCCCTCCCCTCCCATGGAAACACAAACTGCAGGGCTTGCTTTTTGATGTGCAAAGTCTTGCTTGATGCGTGTTTCAAATTTACATTGGCAAGCAGGTGCAGGAATGAGAAGTGTGCTGAGGCCGCTCTCGAGGCTCTGTGTGTGTGTGCATGGCAGAGACACCCCGGTCAGGTACACTAACGCTTAACGCAGTTCGGTGTTAAAACCAGAGGCTCTACACACACCCCAATAAATTACTCCTAACTACACCAGAGATCAATCTCGGCACCTTTAGTCTAATTCAGCTGGTGTGAAAGGCACAGGTTAACACTGGAAGAATTCAAAATAATCTTGCTCCTCCCCGGTGAGGTACCTGCAGCATCGCTGCGTGCTGGCCCTCTGACGCGTCCCTCATCTGCTGCTTGCAGAGCTCCCTTGCTCTGGGAGCTGAGCTGTGCCACCCGCCCCGCAGTGCTGGGCACCTGATGAACTCGCAGGAAGATCTTCCAGCAAACACCCACTGCTCGGGTCCAACTTAAAATAAAATATAAAAGTGAAAAAGATATTCTGTAGTCCAAACTTTCCACTTAAATCAACTGCAACACAGAGAAGAGGCAGGAAACCCTGTCCTGCTTTAGCAAGTCCCACGAGAGCTGCTCTCCAGATCAGGTTTTTGCCTTCAGCTCCTGAGGGTACAAGCACAGCTCTGACTCTGGAAAACAACAGTACCTGCCTGTTACACATCTCCCATGAGTTGTCCTCACAACTACATCACTTTTTGTCTCTGTAAAGTCACGGTATGCCTTCTCCAAGGCTTTGCCTGGGGTGTCCTCCACCTGCAGCTCTTCTGCAAATGTCCCAGAGCAAGAACCATCCCCTCCTCCAGCAGTGTTCATCGTTCAATTGCTCCATGAAAGATGATATTCCAAGAAAAAAAAAACAAAAAAACCCAAAAAACCCCACAAACACTTCCTGCAATGCATATTTCTGTTTCCTTCAAAAAGATCCAAAACTAACCCCCAAAGCTGGACCTTGCACTGCACCGTCACATCGGCTGAAGGTGCTGCACCAACTCAACAAACCCAGGAGAGCCCTGGCTGTGCTGGGTGCTGCCTGCACCAGACCTGGCTGCTCCTGCTTGGGGTTTATCTGTGCAAGGCAGCTGTGGCTGAAGCGCAAGAAAAGGGCGCGTGGCCGAGGCTGGGCATCCATATGAAACACTTGGCTACCATTCACTGAGGACAAGCGGTGAAGGGGCTGTTTCCAAACTTTTTCAAACCCACTGTTTGCCCCAAAAGAGGTGGCAATCTGTGCTAAAACCTTGAGCACAAGCCCTCAGTATTGAACTCTGGGAACCAGCATCCCTTTGGAAGTGTGTGTTCAACCTTTCCTCATAAGCTCCCTAACTTTCTGTCATCAAGGATTTGTAATTAGCAGTTTTGCTAAGCTGAGCTGAACTCTGTTATTATACTGCAAGAAAATTCATCTTAAGCTGCCCTCAACATTACTCTGCTTTGTTCATCTATCTTTAATACACCTTGCAAAGCAAAACTGAAGTGTCATCTGCACCAACCCTTTTCTCTTGTAGATATTTAAACATCTTTGAAACATTCCGGCCAGACTCTGAACAAAGCTAGCTGTGCCAGTTGCAAAGATGAGACTTGAAAAGAATTTATTCTGGGAAAGGTCAGCCACACAGGGCATCACCACCAAAAAGTGCTTCAGCATTGCTGGAGCTTTGTCAGCAGTGATGTTTGTCCTGGAAATGGCTTTTAGGAAGACAGCTGGGATGGGATGGGGGGGATCCACAGATGGGCTCAGAGCTGGAATATCCTTGAGAAGCAACTTTCAGGGGTGCTCTGGCTTTCAGCAGCCCTCGGTTCCCCCCATGGCTCCTCCTTGCCATTTCCTGGGTGCCCAAGCCAGCACGCCCACGTGAGAGCCCAGGCAGCCGCGCCGTGAACCCAAGCAGGGGACTGACCCGAGTTAAAAATAACACTCCTTTTGCAAGCTTATTTTTAACTCAGCTCAGGGCCTGCGTCCAGCTCATCGTGCAGCCGCCCCAGCTGGGGCAGCGAAGGGGGCAATTATCAGGGGCTGCTGGAGTCGGCATCCAGATTGCAGCATCAAGCAAAAGGCCTTATTCTACTAATGCAAATAATAATTAAAAACCTTGCAGTTATTTCACTGGCAAAACCAGTTTGGAGAAGTTACATTTCTAAGGGTTAATTCTGAAGATGATGGATTCAGAGTTACTACTAACATTTAAAAACAGTAATTAAAGTTTGGTGTTCGGGTGCACTGGGTCCTCCCAAAGTGAAAAGCAGCTTCTGGAGAAAAAGATAGCAAACGTGAGCTTGTAGCATCCTAAAAAGCTGCATTAGGACCAAAACCTGCCTTCTGCTCCAAGCAAGAAGGGCTGAAAAGTAACTTCTCATAGCAAAGCGCTGCTACATGAAAGGGGAAAATATGGATCTTTTAACCTGTAATTAACCAGTAGAGGGCAATATTGCCTATCGTGAGGGGCAACGTTATCAGAAAAGTCACTGCCAACTCGTATTTTTTTGGTAATGCATCAATTTTATATGCCTAAGGCAAACTGGGAGTACAATTCAGTACCCTGAGTGCTAGGCGGGTGCTCTGGGGGAGCCACAAGCTACACCAAGGGGTCCACGTGCACTCCTGGAAAATTGAGATAACGCACAGGAGTAAAAACATGAAGGCAGAGGATATTCCAGGTGAGATGGGATGGGTAAGCCATGGAGCACTTCACAGGAAAGCAGCCCCGCACAGGCTCGCGTTATTATTTTGTGTTACCTTTATGTAACATCCGTGTACGTCCTGGAATTGAACTGAAATCCTACCAGGAATCAGCAGTAATTAATGGCAAGATAGTAATTAACAGAAACATGTCGAACAAACCGGGGTAAACATCCTGAGGATATCGAGCCACTTAATTATGTTCACCATGTCACCTCCCGCACAAGAGGAAGCGGAGCCTTCATGGTTCCCGCACGGCAGCCCTACTGCTTGCGTGCTATTTTCTTACACACCTAACGCGGTTCCCGCACAGCAGCCCTACTTACTGC